AAAAAAAAAAAAAAAAAATCCCTGCCAATTTGCCTCCTGCACACACCACCCTCACACCTCCACATCTGCTCCACCTAGAGTCTTTCTCATCTCAATAAATGCCAATTCCATCCTAACTGAAGTTCATGTTTTGACTTGAACTTTGGGATCCTCTTGATGCCTCTCTTTCAACCCCCACAGTTCACATATAAAGACTTCTGCAAAGCCGGAGTCACACTTCCGCTAGGACTTCACAGTAGCCTCCAAGGTCTCCTAACCCCACCCTACAGTCCACTCCCCACAAAGTAGCTGGAGTGATCACTTTAAAATATAAATCAGATTACATTTCCTTGAGCCATCTGATGGGTTCTCATTGTTTTTGAAATAAATTTCAAACTCTATCATGTCCTCCAAGTCCTTTTGTGTTGAGTCTCTCATACTCTGACGGCATTACCTGTTTGTCCTAAATTTTCATGGCACATATTGCTGCTATATTACATATTTTTGGCTTTTATTTTCTACCTCTCCCCTGTTCAATGTAAATTTCAAAGAGTAGGAACTCTATATGTTATGTTCATTGAAACTAACCCCAGTACTCAGAATAGCAAGTGGGTAGTAAATATTATTTTGACCTCACAGTAGAGTTGCTCCATCTCGATGCTTGATGCAACTCTTGAGAATAGATAATAGGTTTGCCATGGTGATATGACTAGAGACCAGAGAGACTTGGGAGAGATATATTTTTTAAAATAATAATAATTTTTTTAATATATTTTGTTACTTTACAAAACTCTTTCACAAAACCCATAATCTCACTTGCCTCTCACTCTAAATCTGGTGATGTCAGAGTGCAGGCATTATTAGCTTGTTTTGAAAATTATAAACAACCTTGGAGAAGATTTGATTATACCAAGGCCACGCAGTGTTTCTGACTCCCAGGGTAATGAGGATATTTTGGAACTTCTGTGGTGGCATGTAGGCAGTAACTTGGGGCTACAAAACCTGTAACCAGTCAGACATGGGTTTGAATTCTCACTCTTACACTGACCACTGTACATTATTTTTTACATCTATGAAGAGGAACTATGAGATCAACTGTAAGAGCTCATACCTAGTTCTTAGCACTCTAAGTACCAGAGCTGTAGAAGATGGTTGATGTACTGCACATATTACACATGAATATATTTGTGTATTATTAGACACTTGGATGTTTTGGAGAAACTAGTCTCTATACAGTCATTTGGAATTCCTGAGGAAATCCCTAAATCCAGAAGAAAATTCCTCTTGGCAAGTTTGTATCTGTTCTATTCTAAACTGAAAGGGAAGATTTCCCTTTCCAGTTTGTGAACTAAAAAATCACTAAGGCAGCCCTCCCTGGTGGCGCAGCGGGTTAAAGCACTGCAGAGAAGCTAAAGCCCCTTCCACATGAGTTCGATTCTCGCCTGCCCCGGAGGTGACCACATGGCGCGGCAGACCTCTCCTGACCCGCCCCTGCTCCCCCTCAGCAGTGTACTTCGTAGATCTGCCTGTTCTGCTCCCCACTCTGTCTCTGGTGAAGCCTCTCACCGCCCCTGAACCTCTGGCCTGTACCCCAGTTCTGTATGTACAAATAAAATAAATCTTAAAAAAAAATCTCTAAGGCTTTTGTACTTGAACACCCCAAGATAGGCACTACTTTGTGCTCAAAGTTCATTTCAAATATCTGGCCACCAGCAAGTTAGTACATACAAGGCTTAGAGGATGAGAAGTTTCCTGTTCTCTAGTGTGGAAATCCTTGAACTCTGCTCATCAGAATCATTTGGGAATATTTAAAAATGTAATAGAGACTCAGATTCATTTCATCTAGGAGTAAGATTTTCCATCTTTAGCATCCATCAGGAAGGTTTGTTAAAACACAGATTTCTGGGCTCCAACCCTAGAATTTCTGGCTCCTTAGTTCTTAGGTGAGGTCTGTGAGTGTGCATTTCAAGTGAATTTGCATTTAGAGTGCTGCTGCTGGTCTCCATACCACATTTTTGAGACAATCTAAATAGGTACCCTAAGATCCTAGCAAAATCAATCCATCATCTCTGAATGGTGATCAATTATAGTAGTGAGCTCCTAAGTGATCCACTTTCCTTCTATAAATAGACATTAAATCACTATCAGACTCATTCCAGAACTATCTGTTATTCTTTGCTAAATTTCCAGACAATTTCCTCCATGTTGGTCCATTCCCACGTAATACCACATCTTGTCTCTGTCATTTATGCTTTAGCAGTGCAGGAACTTAGATGGCACTTCCAACTGGCCACCGGAGTTTTTGTAATTCCATTCCATTTGTATCTGTAGAAAGCAAATATTGGTTGTGCATGAGACAAAACCAAGTCTTTAATTTGGATATCTCTTCCCAAGATTTGGCCTTTGACCAGACTTTCAGTGGTTACAACTGAGGGATGCTGGTCCTGGAGGTTAATTAACCAGCTGTAATGATGAGGAAGAAGTCAGGAATCTTAAATTGTCTTCCCAGAGCTTTCTGGAGTTTTGGAATGGGGTGGGTAAGTGAACTCAGTGGCTGTCAGAAGGCCACTGCTGAGTTCTGGCTGCTAGTTTGGCTGCTCAACACCTATCAGGGTTTACTTTTTTTTTTTTTTAAGATTTATTTATTTATTTATGCTTACAAATCTGGGGTACAGGCCAGAGGTGCGGTGGGTGAAAGGATTCACCAGAGACAGAGTAGGCAGCCAAAAATGTAGACAGACAAAGTACACTGCTGAGGGGAGCAGCCGGTGAGACGGAACTCTGCCCTGCCATGTGGGTCACCTCCCTGGCCAGGGATAGAACTTGTGCTGAAGTGGCTGCAGCTAAGCTTCATACTGGTACACATTAACTTGTTATGCCACCAGGGAGGGCTTACCTATTGGGATTTAAAAGGCTCTTTCCCATTGCTGCCCAGATTCCCTTATAATTATAATCCTGTAGAATGGAGCTCTTTTATAGCACATGAGACGATCCAAACGTAGACACAGGATTTGGGATCAAGACTCATTTTTTTTTTAAGATTTATTTATTTATGCATACAGAACTAAGATACATGCCAGAGGTGCAGGGGCAATGAGAGGACTCACCAGGGACAGAGTGGGGAGCAGAACAGGCAGATTGATGAAGTACACTGCTGAAGGGAGTAGTGGGTGAGACAGGAGAGGTCTGCTGGATCACCTCCAGGGTCGGGGATCGAACTCGCACAGAAGCTGCTGCAGCCAGCTTGCAGTGCTGCATCCTTACCCACTGTGTCACCAGGGAGGGCCCAATTTTTTTTTTATACTGAGGTCAACAGAACCTTATAACTTACTCTGAACCATATATTGTCTCAAATAGAGACTTACAACAAAAGCCCGTGAATGTGGATATGAGAGAGACGCAGCTCCAATAAACTAATTAGGTAATTCCATGTTTAGAAGAATGGGAGAGTCTGTTTTGGAAATTTGCAGGACACAAAACATACCCTTGATATTCACAAAAAAGCAAGACAAAGGCAGATAAACTTTCATCATTGAGGTGCAGTAATCACTTTATGCATAAATATCCAAAGCCTTATGTCCCTGTCTAATTTCCCAGTCACTACCTAGATTTCAATAGAGACTGATTGTACACTCTTAAAAGAATCCTGCCTTTCGCTATCACCCTGAGAAAGAACAAAATATTCTCATTGGTGGTAAGAAAACAAAGAACATCAGACTATGACAGCAACTTCTTCCATAGCGTGAGTCTTAGCTCTTGGCTTACCTGGCATTGTGTCTCACAGCTGTATTCAATCAGACCTTGTAGCCAGGAAATACTCTGCTCCCCCCTTCTTCTCCATAAGAGGGACTCTTCACTGTCACCTTCCTTTTTCAAATAAACATTAAGCAGACCAGTGCCTGCTCCATACATGTGGTAGAAAAAGGTCAAGCATTGTTTTCCGATGACACCTCGCAGAGGACTGGACAGGAGCTGTGCTTTCTGTCCATACACCATGTGGGAGGCCTCGATGTACATGTAGTAGCCTTGAGAACAATGCAAAAGCAGATATTGTTAAAAAGACACAAATTACAGTCTCTTCTTTGGTAGTGTTCCTAGAAAAAAAATTAGATGAGCAGATGACTTGATGTAGTATGATAAAGGAATTTATAATTTTGGAGAATATGTATGATTCAAGGAAATATAAATGTTACAAAATTCAGGCCATTAAAAATAAGGTGTCTTTTTATTCAATATTTCCTCGGTCATTTTCTGTGTACAAGAGGTAATTACCATACCAGTATTATGGACTGATATATCAGAATTTATCCTATTAATTAATGACCATATTCTGAAGCTTTCAGATATTGGTTTATGGGAGAGAGCATGAATTTTATAGATAGGGAGATCTGAATTCAAGCATTGTTAGTAATATTTGTTGTCTGTGTGATCCCAGTCTATTGAATTATCTTCTCTGAACCTACATTCATCATTTAAAAATAATGGGCAATAGCACCTTTTCTCCATGGAATTAAATAATATGTATGATATATTCTTTCATGTACTATATACTCAAAAATTAGTATCCTGCCTACCCTTTTCCCTGACATTTTTTGGTTGGGCTCTAAAACAGTTACATCATATTTGATACCATTATATGTGATATTTAATATATAATATATAACATACATAACATACCAATTATATAGCACTTTACATTTCCAGGTACACTTGTACCTAGTTTGGGCTATCAAAAGGCCAAATGAATCCTAAGTAAAGAACCTAGGCTCAAGATAAAATACTGAGTTGAGGGATTATGGGAATGACTCTTCTGGAATATGCTGCCCCTGGAAAATTGGAAAGTGGACCACAGGATCCCTAAAATAGAACAACTTTTCAAAATGGAAAGAAAGCAATAGGTTCATCATGAGTGAGAGATGACTCAAGAAATGATGATATTGTATAATCACAGTGATAAGAATATGAGTGCTGGCTTGAATTTGTCCGAGGTCCTGGCAGAGAGGAAAACCCTTAATTATCTACAGAATTAGCTAACTGAATTCTTTTTTTCAAGAGTATAATGCATGAGCCATTTAACCTCAAGTGGGTGAAGCATTACTCTGATAATACTTGCAGTCCATATACCTCTGGGTCTTCTGTACCAGGCTGAAGCCATTGCTAAGGTTCCAGCTGCAGAGATCTTTGTGTTTATAGTATCGTGAAACTGTTTGACCTATGGAACTGTGATGCTTTTAGAAGATAGGAATAACATCTAGAAGATTGTAAGTGCAACTGTACCTTTCTGAGGTGCTGATAGCACTCTACTTTTCTTTAGTAATGTTGGCCTTTCCAAAACTCCTTTCAGATAGTTTCTATTTTAAGCAAATATATATATTATATATGCATATATATATGAATATACATATATATATTCATAAGGCAGTGCTGCTTTAGTTCTTCCTGTCTATCTCCTGGCCCAGGGCAAAGAGTGAGCTCTGGTGGCCTGTTTGGGGTCACATGAAATGAACATGTGTCAACAATTTTAACAGATTTTTCAACAAATTTTGTTCCTCTGATCTCAAGCTTATTCCAAATATGTTCATCTTCTTGATCTGTATATGACATTTCTTTCTCCCACAAAAAATCAGAGCTTCATGAAGAGCCATTCTGTGTCACATATTTGGAGAACCAGAAAAGCCCCTCGTGTTGACAAGCTTTGCCACATTCTAACTCCAAATGCTGTCTGTCTCAAACAAAAGGTCTGGAGGAATGCCAGGGAGCCCCAGTGTTAAAATTTCAGACGTGCTCACAAGTGCTTGCACATGAAGGATTCCAGTCTGTGGAAATGGAGAAGACAAATCACTTTTTCTCTGTGGATTACTGTTTAACATTCATGACAGGGATTCCAGTGGGTGCACTGGGTGTTCAGGGCCCATCTGGTCTTTGCACAGCAAGTGTGATGTGTTGAGACACACACCATATTCATAATTTGGAACAGTGAAGCAGCTGTTTCTCCAGTGGCTCTTTCACCAGGGCAGAGCGGGAGCTTTGGTGGCCTATGTGGAGCCATATGAAATGAACAGCTAGCTGTCTCCATTAAATTAGAAAAGGACTTTCAGCAATGGGGGGGAGGGCGGGGGTGCTGCTGGTTGTGGGAGGGATGGGCAAAAACATCAATACTTTGGGATGAAAAACAGCTAAATGTTTTCCCATAAAATTGCCTTTTACTATAACTTTCAAATGGATTTTAAAACTTGTCATAAATGACTAGATTATTAAAATCTGCAGTGTCCTTCAATCATTCCATAGCTTAACACACTAGTTTCTGATACTGTCAGAAACTACTTATACAGAAAAGATTCCTTTGATAAACTTCTCTAAATTTTTTGTAAAATAGACATAATATAAACTTTACCATTTTAATAATTTTAAGTGGGTATGGAAATTCAATTGGGGAAAATGAAAAAAGTTCTAGAAATGGATGGTGATGGTTGAAAAGCAGTGTGAATGCATTTGTGTCACTGAATTGTACACTTAAAATTATTAAATTAATTATTAAATAATTATTAAATTAAAATTAAATTAAAATTATTAAATTAATTATTAAATAATTATTAGGGCTAGAACTTTGATGTCTTTGTTACTGTTCTATTAGAATGACTATTTCTATCAGATGATTGATTCTGCTAGATAACTGACTGGAAATGTTTACCAAACATCATTCACACAAGTACTACATTCATGATATATTCTTTTTCATATGTTACCTGTACTATTATCCACTTAATGTAATCTTTTAAAAGAATGGGTAACATTTTTTTTTTTTTTTAAAGATTTATTTATTTATTTATTCATACAGAACTGGGGTACAGGCCAGAAGCTCAGGGGCGGTGAGAGGCTTCACCAGAGACAGAGTGGGGAGCAGAACAGGCAGATCGACGAAGTACACTGCTGAGGGAAGCAGCGGGCGGGCCAGGAGAGGTCTGGCTCGCCATGTGGTCTCCTCCGGGGCAGGAGGCAGGCGGGAATCGAACTCATGCGGAAGTGGCTTCAGATTCTCAGTGCTGTGCTTTAACCCGCTGCGCCACCAGGGAGGGCCAGAATGGGTAACATTTTTATGAAATACCATGTTTCAAACAGGACAGTTCATATCACCATGAAAACAAAACATATAATATAAATCTGTTAAGTAATGGATTTTATATCGTACTATCAAATTTAAAAATATTTATCATTCTGTCACATAAAAGGAATTTTGGAAGACATTGATTTGAGGTTTGCCAAACCTTCTGGTTTCTGTTAAGTCATTTACTTATTGTTATGGACCATGCTTTTCTATTAATAAAAGCAAAAAATAATGAGTCCAAGAAAGTATCCCTGAGAAGAGCATCAGATTTCATATAAGATCCACTAATTGTAAGAACAGTAATATCATTAATTTGAGTGGAGTTTATACAGAATCAAAGCTGTTCACAAACATAAACTCAGTTAAATATAGCAATCATAAAGGTACCTATTGCTATCTTTATTTTCTATATGAGGTAACTGAGGCTCAGAGAAGTGGTGTGGCTACGCCTCAGATTATTAAAATAACAAATGGAAGAGTCAGTTTCCTGTTCCTCCACTAGTCTTTCAACCAAGATTCGGAAAGGCCTATTACATCACCACCTAGTCAGTCAGGGAACTCCAGCTCCTTTGGAATTGCTGCAAATTATGATAATGTACTTTCCCATAGACACACACTAAACTGGCATATCTATATTGCAACTTTTCTAAACTTCTCTTTCTAGTCTGCCTATTTTGAACTGATCATCTATTGTAATTGTCTGGAAACCAATTTTGTGTTCTTCTAAGTATAAATTGATAATTAAAAAAATTATTTATGCACACAGAGCTGAGATACAGGCCAGAGGTGCAGGGGTGGTAAGAGGCTTCACCAGAGATAGAGTGGGGAGCAGAACAGGCAGATCAACAAAGCACACTGCTGAGGGGAGCAGCAGGTGGGTCCAGAGAGGTCTGCCGCACCATGTGGTCACCTCCCGGGATGGGGATCGAACACTTGCTGAAGTGGATTTAGCTTCTTAGTGCTGTGCTTTAATCCGATGTACCACCAGGGAGGGCCCCATAAACTGATAGTTTTAAGGATGAGAAGTAAAAGGAAAAATATAGTCTACAACTACAGGTATATCCTTTGAAACACCCAGAAAATACTGCATTCAAAATGCATCCTGTGGTTACCAATACCAGACAAATAGCGTCAAGAAGAAAGGTATTATGCTGTCTGTTCAGAGTCTGAATCTAGTATTTTACTATTGATATTTGCTATTTATTAGATAGGAAATTTTGCCATTTTGAAACAGGAATGAAGGACTTGTCTCTCTTTCTGTCCCACCAGATAAGCTCTCCCATTTCTTTTATTTACCCTCTAGGCTTAACAAACATTGTTTTCTTATATTCTAAGAGAAAAGAGCATCTCCAGGAAGACAACATCTGCCTGGCTGACCACCAGGTGACTGTGGAAGCCAGCTGGCATCAACCCAAATCTCTAGATGCTGTGACACAGGATGGACACGCTACCCTTGCCCATCTCCCCTACCTACACCCTTGCAACTCTGGATAAATACCCATGCCCTCGGCCAAAAGAGCAGGATGCTGAGTCTGCAAAAGAGCAGGAGCACGAGTCTGCTGCCCTCCTCACCTTGTCAACAAATTAAGCTACCTTCCTTCTCCTTGAACTCTGTTTCCTTTTATTGGCCAAGGGACACTGAGACCAGCATTCGGTATCAAAAGTAGGTGAAAATACCTTTCAGTGTCTTAATATTTTGAAAGTTTCTGTTTGCTTAGCTGATCTATATGTTCTTGTCTACCGCAGCATCCTATAAATCTGTAAACTGTTATTAATTTGTTGAATCAGCTAACATTTTCTAATTATTTCAGACTCTATTTCCTGAGGAAGGGGAATTCTGGTGACATACACTACATTTATTATATAAATCACTTAAAAATATATGTGGTGATTAAAAAGTGGTTTTCATAATAATTAAAT